AGTTTTATGTCTGATTGAACGTTGCACAGCAGGGGAGGATTAGCGGGCATTTGCAACTCAGTGTGCATTTTTTTTTTTTTTTTCATTTTTATGCCTGCTTGAACGTTGTGCAGCAGGGGAGGATTAGCAGACATTTGCAAAGCAATCTGATTTTCTCGTCTGTTTTTTTCTTTTGTTTCTTTTCATGGTATGCCCACTGCGATGTTGCACATTTGAGGGGGATTGGAGGGGAGATGGGGGAGGGGGGGCGAGGGGAATGATTTGACGAGGGGCTGACCTGCGTTTGACGTTGTGGCCTTCCCTGCTATGCAGGTGACAACGGCAATGGCTCCCTCTCATCAGAAGCAGCTGAAAGAGGACTTGAAGACGCACTTCACGGATGATGGTCCCGCAGGGAGGAACCCAGGAAAAGGGTCCAAACATTGGATTTGCAAGTACTGCGAGACCCGATTCGACGGGACGGCGGCGCATCTGAGAGCCCACTTCCTGAAGAAGTGCAGCCTGGACCTCCTGACTAGACCGTTGTCCGTGGAGGAGAGGGCGAGAAGGGCGGAGGGGCTTCGCATGGGGAAGACCCTCGCAGAGCTCATTGAAAGGGGGGAGAAGAGTTCTACGCCGACGAGCAACCTGCCATCTGCCAGCAGTCTAGTCACCGGAGCGATGGGTGCATGTAGTGGAGCGGCTGATGCTGGCGGTGTACCATTGCGGGTGGCGACTTCTAGGGAGTGCGACCGTGCAGCGCCCCAAACAGGTCGACCAATGAGGCAGATGCTTATCGAGGATGCGGACAGCATCATTACTCGTAATGAACACACGAGCCGCTTCCTCGATAACTTCCTGTTCTGCACGAACCAACCCTTCAGTCTCGTTGACAACGAGTACTTCCTCGAGTTCATCGACGCGGTCAAGAAGGCACATCCGCCATGGCTGCCATACCACAGGGATGACGCACGGACGAGGAGGCTGGACAACGCGTGTGAAAGGACGAGAGCAGACGTGACCGCCATGACCACGAAGTGGCAGGTCACGGGCTGCATGCTTCAGATGGACGTTTGGTCTGATAGACGCAACCGCCCCCATCTGAATGTGATGGTGTCGTCCCCGATCGGGACTGTCTTTTGGAAATCAGTGTGCATGGAGGGGAAAGATAAAGACTCGGCGGCATATTTCAAGATCCTTGATGGAGTGATCAAGGAGATCGAGTCAAACGCAGTGGTTGGCGTTGTCATGGACAACGCAAGAGTGTGTGTGAAGGCGGGTAAGATGGTGGAGGCCGCTTACCCTCAGATTTTCCGTGTCGGTTGCACAACGCATCCCCTCGATTTAGCACTCGAGGACATGTACAAGCATCTCGGTTGGCTGGCGGTGGTCGTCGACGCCGACAATGTAGTCGGCAAATTCTTCACGAATGTGGACAAGGCGAGGGCTATGTTCGACAAATTCTCGCCGAATTTGAAGTTGAAGCGGCCGGCGGTCACGCGATTTGCCACGAGTCACGACATGCTGGCTTCGTTGAAGAGAGGGAGGAATGCACTCGAGAAGTGCGTCTGCAACACAGCGTGGGTGGACAAGATGGTGAGGGCGGATCAGCTCGCCGCTTTCCTTGAGGTCACCTCCATTGTGCTGGGAAGGGACGGATTTTGGGACAAGGTGGAGAAGGCCCTCGCAGTGATGTCTCCTGTTGTGGAGCTGTTGCGCCTGGTCGACGGGCCAGGCACAACAATCTCGAAGGTCTACTTCAAGATGGATGCGCTCGTTGAGAGAATGCGTGGCCTCGAGTGTGTCACCCCGGGTGAGAAGGCCGACATCGAGGACATTCCAATGCATCTGTGCTCGTTCATGACGAGTGAGCTGCACTGCGCGGCTGCCTTCCTTGACCCGGAGTTCCGACACAGTGCTTTGGCAGAGCGGGATCGAGAGGTTCGCGCGGGGTTCAACATTTGGTTGTACTCGTGGGCGCCGAAAGATAAACCCAACCTCGACGAACTGAGCCGGCAAGTTGATGACTGGACCAAACTGCGTGGGTCATTCAACACACGAGAGGCAACGGAGGTGGCGCGTGTGAAACCAGCGGCCTTGTGGTGGCAAGCATTTGGGGGAAAGCTGGACCTTCTGCAGCCGCAAGCCGTCAAATTGCTTGGCCAAGCAAGCTTGTCCGCTGCATGTGAGCGGAATTGGAGCTTGCATGAGCTCATTTTTGGAAGACGGCGCACGAAGCTCATGCTGGAGAGACTGTCAAAACTGGTGTTCAACAGCTGGAACACCCAATTGATCCGGAGTTGCACCCGCGGCCTTGGGAGGATGACCGACCGGTGCAGGCGGAAGTTGAGGAGTGGTACAACACGTGGGTGGCGACGGCGGTGTCCAATGACGATGATGCAGCAGACACGCTCTATGACGCGGAGGTGGGGGAGGAGGATGGGGACGAGCCACTCATGCGAACTTGGCTGCGAAATGACGAGTGGGATGACCAAGAGTGTGAGGCGGAGGACATAGCCCTCGTGGGCTCGAGGGAAAAGGACTGGCACGAGTGCACAAAACCCGGCCGCTACAGGGAATGCGAGCTGCGGAGGAAATCAGGCAATTCGCAGCCCTTACCGTCGGTGTTGTACACGGAAGAGGAACGGGCGCAGTTGTTGAAGGCACGCGCTGCCGGAACATGGTTGTATGGTGCAGGGGAAGTGTCCGGCAGCAGAAAACGTGGAAAAAAGAGAGCGCAACGCGAGGAAGTGGAGGAGGTGGTTCCGGTGGCGAAGGGGAGACGTGCGGACGGAGAGCCGAAATGCAAGAGGGGCCGACCCTCAAACGCGGAGCTGGCAGAAAGAAAAGCCCAGAAAGCGGAAGCAATCACTGCAAAGGCAGCTGCAGCAGCAGCAGCAGCGAGATGTGCGGCAACCAGAAAAGGAAGGAAGAAAAAGGCGCGGAGCAATGTCATCGATGATGACGAAAGCGGCGATGATGCGGCGGCAGCAGATGACAATGAGGCAGCAGCAGCAGGCGACGAGGCGGCAGCAGCACCATCTTCGGCATCCTCATCTTCCTCGTCAGACGATGAGGATGCAAGTGGGAGTGGGGCGGAGTCCATGGAACACGGCGAAGGAGACGGGGACGGCACGGGTGATAGTTCGGAGGGTAGCGAGGGGCAATCCGGGGAGGAAGAGGAAGGAGACGGCGGGGAGGAGTAGGAGAGAGCATCAGAGCTCACTCCTGCAAACTTTGAAAGTGGGTAGTTTAGTTTTCAATTCCAGAACTTTGAACTTTCTGAACTTTGCAAACATCGCATTTCCGACGCTGTGAACTTTGGAAAGGTTTTTCAAACTTGTTTTTTGTGTTGTTTACTTGCACATGTCGTCTGCGTTTTACGCGATCGTGATTGGTGATCTCATGATGGTGTGCTTCAATGTGTCCTGTGTGCCTGTTATTTGCCCTGCGTCTGTTGTTGTGCCCACTGTGTATCCACCTGCTTGTTCATACCACTTGCAGGTACGTATTGCCAACCTCCTCATTCCGCATTTCGCCCCCCCGTTTGCCTGTTTGAAATTGTGAGCTTGTTTGCTTTGTTAAAGTTTGTTTGCTTGTGTGTGTGTGTGTGTGTGTGTGTGTGTGTGTGTGTGTGTGTGTGTGTGTGTGTGTGTGTGTGTGAGAGAGAGAGAGAGAGAGAGAGAGAGNNNCCTCCTCCTCCTCCTCTCGTCTTCTTCTTCTCTCCTCCCCCTCCTCCTCGTGTCCTTCTCTCCTCCTCCTCCTCATCCCCCTTTGTTCTTCTCTCCTCCTCCTCCTTCTCCTCTCCCCCCTCAGCGGACTGGCTGCTGCAGCACAGGGAACACACCCTTTTACCCTCTGAGTCCTCTCGTCTTCTTCTTCCTCCTCCTGCTCCACCATATCCTACCGCCTGCCATATCGCACATCCGGCAGCCATATTGTACGGAGGTCCGCCATATCCCACTGGCCGCCATCTCCCATTCCCCCCAAAAATGAAGGGAAGCAGGCAGACTACAACTTTTCTTCTTCTTCTTCTCTCCTCCTCCTCCTCCTCCTCCTCTCGTCTTCTTCTTCTCTCCTCCTCCTCCTACTTTCGTCTTGTCCTTCTCTCCTCCTCCTCCTCGTGCTCCTCCATCATCCTCTTACTATTATTATTTTTTTCTATCATCCCCATACACTACACGGCCCGGTACCCAGGATGTGCTGCTTCCCACAATAGATTGGAGCACTGTTACTCGGAGAAAAAAAAAAAAAAAAAGTTGTAATGTGTGCCAAGGACTCACGGCTCTGGCAACCATGTACCCAGCAGCAGCAATAGTTTATCCTCAATCTGGAGAGAGGCCGATATGTGAAAGAGGGACTATGCTTCTATGCTAACAGCTCAACAGTATTGCAATGACACCCTCCTTCATTCTCCAGCAGTTTCTCCATCAGTAGCAATAACAAACCTAATAAGAGAGAGAGAGAGAGAGAGAGAGAGAGAGAGAGAGAGAGAGAGAGAGATCAGACACACATACAGACACAGAGAGAGACGGACACAGACACACACACACAAGGAGAGTGTGAACTCTTTCTACAACCAACCAGCAAATTCTCACTCCATCCGGTTTGTCCGTCAGGAACAGTGTGTTCCTTTGCACTTGCAAGCGCAACAGCCTCCGGAGAGCAACCCGGCTGAACACCCATCCCTTTCTCCTGCATATGGCCAAGCAGTGTCACCTCCCTTTGTAAACAGAACAGATTCTCCTTCTGGGCAATCACCTGACTTCTCCTGAGGATGGTGACACACACACACACACACAGGCGACACCATCTCGTCTCTCTCTCTCTCTCTCTCTCTCTCCTCCCTCCTCCCTCCTCCACCATCCAATCACCTTTTTCTTTTTTTTATTTATTGGTAGCCACAGGGCCATTTGCTCCGTGCGACACCAGCGTCCGTCCCTCCTCCTTCCTCCCTCCCTCCTCCTCCTCCCCTCAGTCTTTGTTCGTTCATCTTTCCCTTCTTATTCTTTCATCTTTCCCTCCTCCCTCCTCCATTTCTCCCACCTCCTTTCTTCCTCCTTTCTTCCTCCTTTCTCCACCCTCCTTCCTCCCTTTCAAGAGAGAGAGAGAGAGAGAGAGAGAGAGAGAGAGAGAGAGAGAGAGAGAGAGAGAGAGAGAGAGATGGAAGCCCTGCTTTATGCTCAAATTGTCGGGGGGAGCATAGAAGGGCACTGTTTTGGCTACGCAACTCGCAATGCAGCATGGGGAGCACCGAAAAAAAATAAAATAAAAAAAAAAATGAAGCGCATCTGTGCACCACCCAGGGGAACAGGCCGCAGTTGCGCGCAACAGCGCACGGCGCATACGGAAGTGCGCATGGCGCATGGCGCATACAGATGCACGATGCGCGAGCTGCGCGCGCATCTGACCCGTGCGCATGGCGCACCGCGCATGCGTAGCGCACACATGCGCCGCAAGTATGCAATCAATATAATTGTACTCACGTACGGCACCCTGACATGTCCTGCCGAAGTTGTAGACAGGGAATCGAATGGCAATGCCTCTACAATTGCGGCCGGCGCGCCTCTGTGTTCCTAGCATCTGGGAGCCACGTGGCCTGTGGCAGCTGCCTACGGCCCTACACCGAGCCATTCATTGCAGCAACTGCAACTGCGAGACTTGGATGCGATGCTTCCAAAGTCCACACCCGAACCAGTGTTGTCCGCTCTATAGGGGTGGCCCCTTACCATAGCCCACGGGTACTCCTTAACACAAAATCTCCAGCAGCCTGAATACTGACAGACCTCTCATGTCATTCTAGGAATGGTCTGCTCCGGTGCATTCTCTCTCTCTCCTTCCCCCCCCCCCCCCCTCTCTCTCTCTCTCTCTCTCTCGTTTTCCCCCTCCCTTTTCTTAACCCCATTTCTCGCTCTCCTTGTGCACTACTCATAAGCACATACGAATGAGCGTAAGTAAGAGAACAGACAAAATACAAGTCACCCCTTTTATTATGCCTCCTTTCATAACGTGCAAGTGGGCCGTTAAGGCACACGGGGATGTGGGCAGCTGGCGCTTAACCAGCATCAACGTGGCCAACCTTGTACGTGAGAGGCAGTAAGAGGGGTGTGTAAGAACAAATAAACTGGGAGGCCTCCCAATGATAACAATGGTGAATATAGTCAAGAGAATGACATATTTTATCTATTGTCTATCATATGATTGCTAACTGTCTCATTGTTGGGTAACCCCCTCTCCAGTATGCTGCATTGCTTGCATAAAGGTCAGGTTCCTATGATGTTGGATCTACTCATGTAGGAATTGCTCGCATAAAGGTAACGTTTCTATTGTGCTTCATGTTGCTAAGTATGGAGGCAACACTGTTTCCTTGCTGGATTGATTCATTTCAAGCATGCTTCATCTTCTACAATAGAGGTAAAGTTGTTGCGATTTTGACTACACTGCATCAGCAGACTATGAGAGAGCGGGCTTGGTGACATTTGGATCCAAACTCGACTTTGGGCTTCAGACATTTTGACGAGGGATTATTTGGGACTTGTAACAAAGACTCGGTGTCGACGACATTTCCATCTCTCCCCCTCTTCTTCGTCTGTTCCCCTCCTCTTCATCTGTGCATGATCTGGACCTGGCGCCTTCTTCCTGTGTATAGCGCCAGCCCCTTCACACCTTGTGATGAGGATGATGTATGTTTGGTCTACGTTGTAACATTGATTGGGCTAGTCATTGGTATTCTAGCATTCTGCTGCGCTGTCTTGCACTACGTGATAGAGGTCAGTCCCAGTCAGGGCAGGACTTGTATCTATGTTTTCCAGTGCGCTATAAAGCACCATTTTTGTCTTCCACTGCGCTATAAAGCACCATTTTTTTATGCATCAGAATGTACACTGCTTGTTGACATTTCACTTGCACTGCATTGCTCATTCAGTCCTTTTTATCACATTGCGGATCCTCGGTTATATATGTACGTCGCCCCAACTGGGCATGTAACAGTTGGTATCGGAGCTACGCACGTGAATCCGGACAACCTGATCTGACACGTGTGCGGGGAATACCAAATAGGTAGTCCTGATTGATTGATTAGAGCACACTAGTTAGCCCCCAAAATCACGATTTTGACCTCACTGCCGAAAATCGATTTTTTTTTCTTCTTTTCTTGGATTTTGTTTTCTCGCTATTTTTGTTGTGGAAAATCGCAATGCAGTAACCCTGTTCAGCAGCAGACCGGGGCTCAGAACGTTGCCCCCGGTAAAGCACAGACTGTGCTGGGCTATGTGACCGAGACATGCCCAGCCTGAGTCTGTCGAGGAGGCTGTGTGACCGAACGCAGCACAAAGGAAATTCAACAGTCAAAGTCAACTGTAGAGTCAAAGGTACCGCGCCCAGGCCTATGGTCGGATACATTCACTTGTTGTGTGCAGGTACCCAGACAGCATTCAGGGCGGGAGGAATACAGTTTCTGGCCAATCTGGGCCCTCCTTCACATCGAGATCTGGACGGTGCAGGACTTCAGCACCCGGGGTCCAGACCCCGCATCCACGCTATTTAAGAGTTGACTTCCTGRCTGGAGGACATTCAGTCTTGCRTGAATGCTGACTTCACGCGTAGACTTTGACGYKGTTGCTATGCTGCRACATTGCGGCATTGGCTTGACGCCGGCCCTATGCTGGCAGAGGAGGACGGCAAGGCGCTGCTGGCTGGCATGGTGCTGGCTGGCGATGGTCTTCTGGGCATGCTGACGTGGCCGCTGCCACCTGTATATGATTGATGACGTGGCGGGCTGCAAGGTTGATGAGGCTGTTCTGATTCTGCGTCACTTCGGAAGGGGATCAAGACTGTGGTTATCAAGGATACGTACCTGGTTGATGATGATACTCTCCATTTGCTGATGTAGACAGATTGATGTGCCACGTGGCACCTTGAGGAAGAACTTCAGGCATTGTATTCAGTCTATTGATTGATGAGGTGGCGAGGAGGAGGAGGAACCGGAAGTATAAGTGGGCTGTTGTCTTTCTCTCTCTCCTTTGTATATTCTCCCTCTCTCCTCCTTCGTCTGTGTATGATTCTCACCTCATTCTATCATCACACACATTTGCGATTGTTTGTCATTCATCAGCAGATCGATAATTATATGGACTGGTAATGTTGACGAGTATCATCACGTCTGGGCTCATTGCAGCAATAGTGCAACATATGAAATTTCCATTTTCGTTTTTCTTCTGAAAATTCAAAATTTCGTTGTAGGAA